AAATCCTCTTCTGTGCCAAATGACAGGAAGATAGCTAATGTGATGCCAATTTTTAGAAAGGGCTCTGGATATGATCCTGGCAATTATAGACCGCTAAGTCTAACGTCAGTACTGGGCAAATTGGTGGAAACTGTAGTAAAGAATAAAATTGTCAGACACATGGATGGTTTCTGTAAAGGGAAATCATGCCTCACCAATTTATGAGAGTCCTTTGAGGGGATGAACAAGTGTGTGGACAAGGGGGATCCAGTGGATATAGTGCACTTCAATTTCCAGAAAGCGTTTGACAAGTTCCCTCACCACCAAAGGCTCTTAAGTAAAGTGAGATATCATGGGATAAATGGGAAGGTTCTCTCATGGATTGATAACTGGTTAAAAGACAGGAAACAAAGGGTAGGAATAAATGGTCAATTTTCAGAATGAAGAGAGGTAACTAGTGGTGTCCCCCTGGGGTCCGTGCTGGACTTGTCCAACATAGTCATAAATGATCTGGAGAAAGGGGTAAACAGTGAGGTGGCAACATATGCAGATGATATGACTAAACTGGTCAAGAGAGTTAAGTCCAAAGCAGACTGTGAAGAGCTTCCGAAGGATCTCACAAAACAAGGTGACTGGGCAAGAAAATGGCAGATTAATTTTAATGTCAATAAATGCAAAGTAATGCATATTGGAAAATATAATCCCAACTATATGTACAAAATAATGGGGACTAAATTAGCTGTTACCACTTGAGAGAGATCTTGGGAGTCATTGTGGATAGTTCTCTGAAAACATCCACTCAATGTGCAGCGGCAGTCAAAAAAGCAAACAGAATGTTGGGAATCATTAAGAAAGGGATAGCGAAGAAGACAGAGAACATGTTATTGCCTCTGTATAAATCTATGGTAGGCCCACAGCTTGAATACTGCGTACAGATGTGGTCGCTTCATCTCAAAAAAGGTATCTTGGCATTGGAAAAAGTTCAGAAAAGGGCAACAAAAGTTATTAGGGGTATGGAATTGGTGCCATATGAGGAGAGATTAACAAGACTGGGATTTTTCAACCTGGAAATGAGATGACTAAGGAGAGAGCTATGATAAGAGGTCTATAAAATCATGACTGGTGTGGAAAAAGTGGATGAGGAAGAATTATTTACTCCTTCCTATAATACAAGAACTAGGGGTCACCAAATGAAATGAACAGGTAGCAGGTTTAAACCAACCAAAAGGAAGGTTTTCTTCATACAACGCACAGTCAACCTGTGGAACTCCTTGCCAGAGGATGTGGTGAAGACTAGGACTTTAACAAGGTTCAAAAAGATCCAGATACATTTATTGAAGATAAGTCCTTCAATGGCTGTTAGCCAGGGTTGGTGTCCCTGGCCTCTGTTCGTCAGAGGCTTGGAATGGGGATGGATCACTTGATGTTTTCTTGTTCTGTTAACTCCTTCTGGGGCACCTGGCATCGGCCACTGACAGAAAACAGGATTCTGGATGAGATGGACTTTTGGTCTGACCCATTCTGGCCGTTCTTGTGCTCTTATTAAACGTGGAATGCGTCGGCATGAACGTATGTAAGATAAATCACTTCAAGCAACCCTGACAGTTGTTTGTTTTCAGTGAAATTGTTCTGGGTGTCGACGGAAGGGAAGGAATATGCTTAATGTTTCCAGAAGGCTTTTGCCCAAGTTGCACATGATGGATTATCCTATAAAGTCTCTAACGAGGAGTGAGGCAGTAACTTATGGGGAGGCGGAAGGACCGGTTAATACCTGGGAAGCAGACAGCTACAGCCAAAGCTGCGTCATTCTTGCAGGAGCAGGGAGATCAGAGTCTTTTAATGACCAAATTCGTCAACCCCTGTTCAAGCAGTCCCAGTCCCACTGATTTCCGACAGCTCCAACTGACTTCAAGGGGCTATTCATGGAGTAAGGGCGGTGGAACCCGGCGAACACACGGCAGCAGAAGGGAGGGGTAAAGGCATGTCTATGCTCAAAGGAGGATCGGTGCTCCGGAGCTCTGTCTTCCAGTGTTCGATTTAGCGGGGCTGCGAAGGACCACTAGGTTGAATGCGGAGGGTGTCGATCTCGACTCCAGAACTCTGCGGTCAGGAGGAGCAAGGGAAGTTGGTGGGAGAGTTTCTCCCATCGACTTCCCTGTGGGGCCACCCCCAGAAGATCGATACTCTTGCTTCTCGGTGCATTGGGAGATCCCAGCACAAAGCACCTGAACTCTGGTTTTGTCTACACTGCTAAAAGCAAAGTGCCAGGAGAGCGCTATATAAAGTAGGGATGAGACTGGTTAACCCATTAGTCGGGAAGCCTCAACCTTCGCTGGTGGGGACTGAAGGGTGGGGCTCGCTGTGGGTGGGGGTCGCTGCAGCCTGGCAGAACAGCCCACTGCCCGTGGGGGGGAGACGGGCGCTCTGCTGCCTGCCCCCTGTTTAACCAGTTAACTAATTAAATGGGAGTTTACAGAACTGGTGCTTTGAGAGTGAGAGAGAGAGAGAGAGAGTGTGTGTGTTTTCACACCACCGGCCCAACCATCCTGTGCAGAACATGGCTAACCGCAGGGTGGACACAACTCCAGAGGGCTCCTTGCACAAGGCAGCGCCTCTCCTCCTGGGACTTAACGAGCTGCTGGACGGTTTCCTTTCTGCCCAGGTTTGCAAAGGCAGGAGAGAGGAAAGGCCTTGCCGTTTCGAGGGAAGACCAGACAAGCATTCGGGTGGCAAGCAGCCCGGCTGAGCAGTGCCCAGGCCACGCCGGGTGTCGGAGATGCCTCCTTTGAGATGATCAGCTCCTGAGAGGTGCCTGGTGCCAGCCTAGAGACAGAGGTTCCCTCCAGCCCAATTCAGGAGCAACCAAAGCAAAACCAAAGGACAGACCCCATCCACAGGCCCACCGACGGGGGAGGGGAGATACCAAAGGGCTGCCACAGCGTCCGGAGCCCCGGGCCCTTGAAATGGGGGCTTCCAAGGGGAGGCACGGTGCTCTCCGGGTGGCGCTGAGGCCCTCCCCTCCGGGGGATGCAGAGCAGCCCCCTCCATCCCCATCTTGCCCCATCTTGGAGGAAATGGGCAAAGGTGGGTGGAATGAGGGTTTGCTGGAACGAATGCCCGGGGGGGGTCACATGGCGAGTGCAGCTCCGGTGCGTGGGGAGCCTGCGAAGTGGGCAGGCCAGGCCAGTAATGCACCCGCCGGCTCCTCACTGGGCACTGGGGGAGGGCTCCAAAAGCCAGTTCTACCTGAGGTCAGAGGGCGCCAAGGACAGAAGGGAGGAGCAGCAGGCCAGAGCGGGGCAGAAGGCAGCCTGGGCACTGGGCCTGGAAGGCTTCAGAACAGAACCAAGACGTGGGCTGGAAGCCAGCAGTAGCCACCACAGGGTCCTCTCCTGCCCCTGGCATCTGGGGTAAGAACCTGGGAGCATAGCTCTGAGCCGCTGAACTGGGGCATTCTTTTCCTTGGACTGCCCCTTCGGCAAGCAGCAGTGAGCGTTGCTTTTCTGCAATACCACCCTAGCACCGTGGCTCACGCTCTGCCCAGTCTGTAACCTGCAAACCTCTCAATGTCACGGTTCAGCTGTAACCGCGCCGGCAGGCGATCTATCGACTTCCCGCAGGATGGGAATCCTGCCCACTGCCAACATCAGGGCAGACGGGTGGGACACAGGGCACCAACTCCAAATCGGCCGAGAGTTCAAACTAGGCTTAGATTTCACCAGTATCGAGTGTGAACTCCTCAAGCACTTTCACAGCCTTAACGTGGAGTCACAGACCGTCCTCTCGGGTACCCGGACCTGACTCACCCCCCGAGGAGGTGCCTTGGGGACACGGCCCCTTACACCACAAAAATCACAGGTTACTCCCAGTCCCAAAGGACCAGTCACAACATATCCCGGGTCAATTGCACCTTCGCCCTCATACCAAAGACATCACTTGCAATCAATCCCACACTAAGCTACCTATAGATGTATTATATAGGAAAAGGAAACGAGCGTAATTCACAAGGTTAAGGCAGGTCACACACAACGAGTTCTAATCTTACATTTCAGGAGGTAACACACTTGTGTAACCCCTCTGTGTCCTTTGGGCCTATTCCAGGCTAGGCAGTCGGGGATCCCTTGCTTATGCCTAGAAAACTCCTGAGTCAAGGCAAAGCAGATCCAATTCTGTCTTGTTCTATCTCGTTTGTTCCTTTCCGCCACGTGCTCTGAGCTGCACACTCAGCCAAGGGGAGGCATCTACCTGGGTGACTCATCTTCATGGGAGAGAAAGAGCCGAGCAACAAAGTCTTTCGTCCCCTTTAACGTGCCCCTAGGTGCGGACGGGCTTTGCCTGTTGGGCAGGACACGGTGCTTTTGGCTGCTGAGCCGCTCTTCAAGGACGTAATCTCTCACCCTGCCCAACCCTGTGGGATACGGATGCTGTAGCGGAGGCTAGTGCAGGCAGCAACCCACAGGCACCCCACAAAGCCTAAGCACTACACCCATTCTCATCCCAATAGCTGTCTCAACGACACTAGCCCATGGGTGAGCCCAGCTGGTCCAGCAAGGTACTTGCCAGTGTTCAGTTGCGAGCCGGGCACCTGGCACGTGCTGGACGCTGGTGTGCCTGCCCCATACAAAGCATCTCTGAAAAGCAGCCCCTGCCTCGCCCTCTGTGCTTACAAGCACTAGAGGACCGGCCCTGGCGCACCCTGCCCCTTCTGCGGGCAAGTTCTTGGCCGCTCCATTGATAGCCTCTGAACTGCTGAGCCTGGCAGCTCATTTCCAAACACACGGCTCTGACACCGCTTACCCACGGAACAGCTCCCTCCTCCGTGGCTTTCTTTGCTGCCACACCAGCCCCGTGGCTGGGAGCAGGCTGTTCTGGACCCGGCAAGCTGGCAAAGCTGAGCTGAAAATCAAGATGTCACAGGAGCAGCAGCACTGGTGGCCCCATCACCTCCCGCAGGAACCGTTGCCTGAGCACGGGCCATGCCCTGGTGCCCCCGGACACGCCTGCCCCAGCGAGAGACTCACCTTCGTCTCCTTGATCTTCACCGCGATCACCTGCTTGCGCTGCCGGATGATCTCCATGAGCTCATCACACTCCTCCATCAGCTTGGCCTCGTGCATGGCCGTGTTCACCTAGGCAGAGACAGCAGACAGGCCGGGCTGTGAATGCCACACGCTGGCTCTGAGCCTGGCCACGCGAGCAGCAACAGCTTCCCCCCAGGCCCCCTCCTGTCAGCCAAGGTCTGGCACCACTGGTGCCAGCTGCCAGGAAGCCAGGCACTGACGCGGGAGGACACAACGCTCCTTAGCAGCTGCTGCTGTGCAGGCAACACAGACAGAGGCAGGCCGCTGTGTCCTGCATCTGTCCCCACTTCGGAGATGGGAGAAGGCCAGGTACTAACCTCGGCAGAGGCCAGGGTTTGGTGGCTGCCCGCAGGTTGAGTGACAGGGAGAGAGCCGTTCCTGGGAGGGGTCCAGGGAGCAAGGGCCCCAGGCTTCGATGCAACGGTGGAACCTCAGCATTTCCTGGGCCCTCACCTCCGCTCTCTGCGTACCCTGGGCCCCAGGCCAGAACCGTCAGCTCAGCCTCGCTAGGGCCAGCGGGCTGCAGGGCCCCAAGGGATCATCCACTCCAGCCCCTGCACCGAGGCAGGGCCAAGTACACCTAGGCCATCCCTGCCAGCTGTTTGCTCAAACCCTCCAGAGATGGGGGTTCCCCGTCCTGCCTCAGTGGCCCAGCACGCTGGGTCCTGGCTTGTCCTGCCCAAAGGGCCCTGCCGACTGGCAGTGACAAAGGACCGGCTCCGGTGAGACGGCAGGGCAGGTCTCTGAGCGGGCGCCGCCCCAGGGCATGGCGAGGCGTGAGTGAGGTCCTGAGGGACGCACAGGCAGCTTTGCCGCATGGCACCGCCCAACAGACTCCGCTGTCAGAGGGGGAGGGCGGGGGGGGGTCAGAGAGGTGGAGTTTATGCCGTGAGGACAGATGTGGGATTTGGGTTTCAAATGCCCCAGGCTGGTGCAGGAAGGTCAGCAGAGCGGCACTAGCTCCCCTCCGGCCCCCGCCCCGCGGAGCAGCTGGAGGATTATGGCGCAGATGGGGCTCAGATCCCAGCTAATGCCAGGTGTTTAAGCCCAGTGCTGTTCGGCAGGCGCTCTGAAGGCCTTTGGGAGGGCCATGGGGCTGCGTGTCCTTGCCCAGAACTCACCCCAACTGGCCCCCATGCCAGGAACCCAGCTTGCCCCCCTGCAGTCTGCTATGCACCCGCCCAGCGATGAACGTCAGAGGAGCCGGTGTAGAGCCCAGAGCCGTTCTCCCCGTCCAAAGGCCAGCGAGTGGGGGATGGGGCGGGGAGGGCGTAGGCGTCTTCTCCAAACTCTCCCCTCCCCCGGATGCGGGAGTCTCACGGCTGAGCCGAGGGCCCAGCCGGGGTGCGGTGGAACAGGGACACGGGGGAGAGGCAGCAGAGGCGTTTGCTCATCGCTGTTGCTAACATTCGGACCGTAAGGGCAGGCCCGGCCTGTCGCACTTACTGTGCAAAGCGCCGGGAGCACCCCGGGCTTCGGGCCACCTCAGGGCGCCGATCGCTCCTGGCACGGCACAGAGGGAGGAAATGGTGCCACAAGCAGGCAAAGCCGGGGCCACACGGGGCTGAGTTACTTCCGTGTCCACACCCACACCCGTCCGTGGCACAAGGTGCAGCGGCTCAGTCTGGCATTTCCCAGAGCAGGTGACGCTGACGCGACACAGGCCGAGGTCTCTACTTCCCACGCTAGGGACCATGGGACAGCTGCAGCCAGCGGAGAAGCGCGGTGCTGCAACACTCCTTTCTACCAGCCCCGGATGCCACCTGCTACCTGCATAATTAGTGTCAAAAAGGCTTGTTAGCTGTCTTCAAGGGCTGCTTCACGCAGCTTCCCTGACTTTATTGACCTCATTTACTACAAATCAGTCCCCACTGGGGCTCAGGGACGAGGCAGTGCTGAATACAGATGCAAAAGGCCGTTACTTGCACGGCTTCAGTGCCTGTTTAACGAGCATCCTCGTGTTAAAATACTGCGCAGGAACCGAGACACAGCCTGTGCCATGCTGGCAGGAAAGGAACGTCGAGAGGGCAGCTCTCACAGGCCTGCCTCCGTACCGGAGCAGCGGTGCGCTGGGAAAAAAAAGGGTGCGGATGCTCAGGGCACTTGTGCCACTGCATGTCTGAGGCGTAACCTAGACCTGTCTCGGTGCCCCCGGGGACCGGTCCCTGCTGCACCGAGAAGGAACGAGATCATTCCTCTGGTCTGCGGGATGCAGGAGGCTCAGCCTGCAATCAGCGAATCACAGTGGACGTTTAGGAACTCGCCTACCGAGAGGATCCTGCCGATTTGAATCCAGTCGGGGCACAAAGCGAAGGGCAAGAGCATTGTTCAGTGCTACGGGGGGGTGCACCATTCGCACCCAGACTGATCATTCGCATCCTAGGAACGGGGCCTTTCAGCGGGGAGCCTGAGAAGCCAGCCAGGTCTCCGCCAGCCCCGCTGCTCCTGAGGGACTGGGAGTGGCTGCAGGGGAGAGAACGCAGGAGCTGGCCTGCCTGCATTCCACTGAAATCAGGGTACTTAATCCCTGCTAGGCCCTCCTCTCACTCAGGCGTCAACTCCCTGCCATGCCCGAAGGAGCAGCAGGAAGACTGTGGAAGTCAGAGGCCATGCCAGGGCGACCTGGCGTCACTCTCCAGGAAGGGGTGGCCTGCCAGCGGAGTCACACAAAGCACCGCGGGGACATCTGGCTAGTCTATTCTCCAATAAACACTCCACCAATTGCCAGGAATGACGTGGGCCCCACTGGTTTTGAAACTGCAAAAAGACCAGAAGCAGCAAAGCAATCAGAGACCCGCCTCAGCATTACAGATGACAAGCATCTTACTAGAGCCCCGACCAGCTGGTTAAACAGGGCTACTGACTGGAGAGCTGCTGGAGTGAATTCCAGAGGGGCAAACAGTGGGGAATCGCTAACCCTACTGCACGCTCTCCGGGAATCTAACGGCAATTTAGAGCCATTGGCTTGGCTGGTGTCAGGTGGCTTGGATGGGGTGGGCAGTGGGGTCTGTGATACACCCTCACCATGGGTCTGGGTTCAGGGGTTTGGACATGGCGTGTGATTTCACCTCTAGAGGCCTCGGTGTGAGGAATCGTTGCGATCAGCGTCTTTGTTTCAGCAGAAGCACTGACCTGGGCTGCCCTTTATCCCGGTTGCTGTTTGCACTGCCTTTAGAACCCATGGGGATCACTAGCACAAGCAGAAAGGACACATCAGGTGCCGGCTGAACGAATTACTGCTGAACAGGGAGGCACCCGTAACAAGCAATTCAAATCACACGAGCCCTGAACCTTAAATACCATGGCTAATGCAGCGCTCCCGCTCAAAGCCTTCTAAATCCGAAACGTCAGCTCTGGCAAAACCCCGCCGTGCCGCCATGCTGACAGCACTGGGGGATTGGATGAGTCAAGAGACCCGACTCTATCCGAGGAGGAGAACCAGCATCCCCACAGCCAAGGCTGCGTAATTGTCTCCACGCTAATTTCTGAAGCTTTCATGGCTTAGGTTGACATTTGGGAGATTGGTCCCCGTCCAGAAGCCAAGAGTGACTGTTCCTGAGCATCAGGTGAGCGGAACAAGCGCCACACAGGTAGGGGAGGGGAGGAGCCATCTCGGGGCAGCACAAGTCCAAGGCACGGGGAATGCTCACTGCTCGCCTGCAAGGGGCTCTGGGGAGTAACCTGGTCAGGATTAGATCCGGAGCCTCTGAAAATGAGGTTCTGTGCCCGCGGAGGGGATTCGCTCCCCTGGTGGATTTGTCACAGGCAGTTTAAGGCAGGGCGCACCCGTCCTCGCCACGAGCGCAACTACGCTCCCGCAACCGCTTTGTGACACTCCCACGGGAGCCGGAGGGGACGCGCACTCAGACAAGAGCCGGGGCTCTCAAATGGGGGGTCGGGACTCTCAGGCGGTCCTGGGATTACTACTGGGGGGGAGGGGCTGGGAGCTGTCCACCTCCTCCCCACACCTGCTTTGCCGCCAGCGATGGGTATATTAAAAAGGGGTTTGAATGGATGGGGGGTGGCGTTCAGAGGCTTGCTGTGTGAAAGCAGACACGCAAGAACTGCTGGACAAGAGGCATCTGCACATCAGCCATGTTTGTGTATCTGCCACTGCCGTGGCGCCGCCTGTGGCCTGTGCCAGTGCATTCTGGGAAATCCAGGAGATCGCCACTCATCATTGGAAGAAGGGGGCAGTGCCCACGAAAGCTCACGAGCCCATCTACAGTGTTTGTTAGTCTCCACGGGGCTACCGGACCATCCGTCGCTTTTAAGATTTTTTTCTCTTATCGTGTTGCAGGAGGACAACTCGAACCCAGCACGGCCCCAGTGATGCGGGGGGCAAATTATTCTGGGATTTCCTACTGAACAGACCGAGGGGAAGACACACCAGCCCGGTGCCCCGCCCGCTGCAAACATGGTTTGTGACCCGTCAGGCACAGAACCAGGCTGCTCACCGCAAGAGAGGGCAGGTGTCCATGTGCATGTGTCCCATTCGGGAGGGTTTTCTTCAGCACCAGCTGGGCCGACTGACCATGTACAGAGACACGTTCTTCTCTCGGCGGCGATGTCGACACGAGACGTGCCCCCGTGAAGAGCTGCCCTGCGGCAGCGTAGGCGCCGGTGAGGCCACTGTAGGGAATCCTCCCCTGGAGCAGGGTGGTTAGGTTCAAGGAAAAATCCTTCTGCCAACCTAGCAGTGTCTGCACTGGGCTTAGGTCAGCGTCACGTCTCAGGCGCGAGCGCCCCGTAGGCAGGCTGACCTGTGTTTCAGCCGTAGCGCAGGCCTCAGATCTGTGTTCTGATCATTTTGGCAGCTCCTACGGACTGTCCCCTCTTGTCCTAAGAGTGGGTCTACTCTAGAAAAGTAGGCTGACCTGGTAAATCTGGCTTCGGTCCTCATGTAGGCAGTGCCCGGTCAATGGAAGACCCTAAGGCCGGGTGCAGACAGAGCTGTGCCACTGCTGTGTTTCAAGGGTAGACAGCACGTGTGTCCAACAAACCCACCTGACACACAGTCCCCTCCTTGGCTTGCTGCGCTGGCCAAG